ATATATATGTGTATATATATATATATATGTAAATATAATGCAAAAACAGTACATAGATGTCTTATGTATATGTACACTGAAAATATGTTCAAGGCATGTATACAGACTTGATGCTGCAAAGTATATGATCCTTTTAGAAATATTGCCATTCTCTCCCACGGAAGCAGAACAAGTCCAAACAATGACTTTAAAATATTTATGGTTACACAGATGTGGTACCTGTCCAGCCCAATTTATTATTAACGACTATCAAAAATGGTATTACCTTTACATTTATATATCCATTTAGTATAACACATGAACTCTAGTGATAGGATCTTTACAACATTGTTTTGCTTTTTTTAATAACAAATATTTAATAGGTGAATACTTACTAAGTTGACCTACCTACCTGTAATGTGTAGCCAGGTTCACACTGAAAAGAGACTACATCATTAACCATGTAGCGATCCCCATTTTTAATACCATTCATTGGCAAAAGTGGTTCTGGGCAGGCAGTAAGACCAACAGCTGGTGAAGACACAATAAATATAGTAGGTAATTACTATGTACCTAAGCTTTATATTTTAACACAAAAACATGTCAGTTATCATGTATGCTTACTGGTTTTCTGATTTTCTGAGATGGTCTAGGTTTCTGAATAAACAAATGGTATGAACTCCAAACAGGTAGAGTTAAGATAAAGTTGAATTATCATAGGACCTATTTGTAGTCTGCTGCTTGACTCAGCAATAGGGAGGAGCTTGTATTTGTCCTAAACCTAGCCTGTTTGTAAATTGGTGAATGGGCAAACAAAATTACCAATTTGACCAGCTCACCCACCTGCTTGCAACTCCAGCTAATGCAGCCATAAGTAATTCGCTTAGTGGTGATATTATTACCTTAGGTTGGAATAGATGGACCTGTGTGTTTTACTATGTAAATATATGTAAACAAAATCAACAAATATTTTAACTGTAATCCCGAGTGCTGGATTGCCATACATCTGTTCACATTCCTGGTCACACATGCTCTGATTTTTAGAAGTGCAACCAATTAGAGCACTGCTGAAATATTTTGCCCATTTAGTGTAGAATTTGCTATCGCCCTTAAAGATTTTGCTACACAAATAAAAATCTCTGCAATTTGATTTAGGACCATTCTGCCTTAGTAAGAAAAGAAAAGGATAATTTTCTGAACGTATGTATGTTTTATGTGTTATTAAACATACCTATTTCTCAAACGCTACTGATATCCTAAATCTCCCAAATGCTATGAACAAATAATGTAAGATCCACTACATCGTGCTTATCTCTGTCGTTCTGAATCCACATATCACATACCACACAATTTTTATTCAAATTAAATTTCAGTGATTACTTGCAAAATAGGATTGTATTTGGTTTAATATATATTTTCACAAATGTTAGTTATTTTTTAGCTGATACCAATGAAATTTAAAAAACTAGTCACATGGCTAAATTAAAGACCCGTATACTTGTGTTAAAGCTTTGTGAATTAAGCCGATGATCTTGAATCCAAGCTAAAATGAAAAAATTATGCTATGTTTAATTACCATTGTATACAGAAAGCATTAAGTCAATGAATGCCAAAAATGACAAAGTGACAAAGTGACCACAGACTTTGCTAATAACATTAACATGAGAACCATGAACATGACATGTTACATTATTTTAATTAAGAGAACTATCCAGCAGGGAAAATGAAGCAAAGACTGTTAACAGCAAGTGTGTCAATTGTCATTTAAGTATCCAGTGACTATCTTAGACAGAAATTCAATAAACTAAGTAACTCAAAGAGCTTTGTCCAGCATGCAAACTAATTAGTCACTAAGATATACTGTATGTATAAGTTGCGCTCTAACTGTGGCCATGGAGTTTGCTATTAATCAGTTGCAATTTTTTGTTGTTGTTCATGGGTATGATTCAGAACAACTTTTCACAGCTTGTATACATTATTTCGTTTTGGTGAACTTAATCTCCTTCAGCTGGGCAATGTACAGATGATCCTTGATTTATGTAAAAGGTTAAAGTCATATCAATGGGGAAAAGGCAAACATTTTACTAAGCAGGTCAAGAAAAAAATACAGCTGATTAGTATTGAGCAGAGTGATTGTGGCAAAATTTCACTTCATTGCAGCATACTTCCAGGTAGGGAGGTGCACCTTTTAACCAAGTGGCCAACACAGCTGATCTCAGAGCTAGCCACAGAGATGCAAGGAGCTGTGAGGGAGTGCAGGTAAGGTATAAGTATATGGGGGCACCCTTGCTACGGACACTGTCACCTTGCCTTGGAAAGGTGACAGTGGCTATTGTATAAGTGGAGGTCATCATTTGTAGTGACTCCAATTAATTATACCTGGCAAAACCCTACTTTATTTACTTTTTCTGACCTTTTAGTTCTCTTTGTTTGTTACCAATATGCATGAAAATTGAGCAGAATTATGATGGATGCGGAAAATGATGGGTGAGAAACACACATGATATTGTTGTTGCTATCTTGCAGTTATTGCTAATTCTAAGTATTCCATTAAAGAAATACTTTTTAAGATTATGTTATCCCTGCATTTTTTTCAGTTTCTTTCTTTAAAAGTGTATTTCTATTCACAGTATTCCTTGATCAACTACAGATGTCCCCAACTACAAATAGCAAACAAATAAGTCATCTACTTCTTTCTTCACGTTACCATTCAAGCATGTATTGAAGTAGCTAGACTGACCTTGAAAATGTAAAGTACAAGTTTCAGACTATATTTTCTAGTGCCTTTCTGCTGAGAAAATACAATTTCAAATAAAATAAAGCCAATTATTACACATTTATAGACATTCATAAAGTAAAATTGAAAGTGAAGTGACATGAATGTTCTCACTCAGACTGTCAAATGTATGACATTACTAACAGTCTGCATATAAATAATTTTAATCAGTTGAATAATAAAAATGATAAGTTACTTGGTGATTAGTGTCCATACTTTGGGACAATTATCAGATTAAAATTGTCCGTTAATTTCCGTAGAGAATTTGCATATATAACCTTTTGGATATATTTTCTCAGGTTTTAAGATTACTCATTAAGATGAATTTCTGAAAGAACTAAAGCTGGGTATTTCAAAAATACATTTCTATTTAATTTAACAAGTCTTGAAAATAGCTTTGTAATAAAACATAGGAATGGTTTGTTAATATGACCTTTGTCATCCCATTAATCATGTTGTTATTGCACAGATCCCCATTCTCTTTAGAAAGGTTAAAACATTTTGTAGAGAAAAAAATGTATCTTTAACACAAATTAAATGTCTGCATACTGTAACAGCATACAGGGCTCTTTTGTTTCATTGCAATAACTGAAAAGGGCTTCTATAACAACAAAATCAGTCTGAACTAGAAAAGATTACACTGTGACATTGAAAAAATAACTGCATGCATCATGTTCTTAATAAAATGAATATCGATTTTGTCATTACTATAAATTCTTAGGTACAAAATAAATAGCTTACATCTTGTTCCAGACAGCTACTGGTGTGAATTAATAACAATGAATAAAGAAGCCATGGATGATACTGAAGAAATAATCGTAATAAAAAGCCTTTAAAATAATTAGATAAATGGGAAAGTAAACAAAATAAGTCAGGTTGTGAATAAAGACAAATAAATTGACTTAGTTGAAGATTCATCTAAATTAAGCCTAACTGGACACTAAAAAGCAGTTTTCCATATGGTGCAAGGCTTAAACTGGCCGTACAGGTAAAATGTATTTTGTTCAGAGAAGTCACTTGATTTCCCCATTCATATTAAACAGCATGGATGAACAAATTTGCCCTGCCAGCTATTATATTTGGACACCAGACACCCACAGCTGTCAGAAAACCAGAATAGTGACTGCAGCTGAATAGCTGCAACCACTGTTTTGTGGGCTTTTTTTGCCTGGCTCCTTTGATTGTTCAATCAAAGTTTGTCAAGTCAAATGGTTTTGGCAAGACCACCCAAGTTGTCAGCCAACTCACATAAATGTGGCCTTGCATCATCTATGCAAAAACTTGAGATGCAGTGTTGGACAGACAGGCTGTTCTATCGAAAAGTATAACCAAAGGCAAATGTTTTTTTCTTTAAGATTTGAGTAGAATGTTAAGGGGTTGGAACAGCTGTCAGGTATTTATTGCTGGAGGAAAATCCATCCAGCACATGTACCATTTTACGCCAGCTGGCAGGTGGCCCATGATGATATTGTTTAAATCCAATAACAAAAGTGGTCAGTATGCAAACAGTTAGAGCTTCAGATGTTTACTAAGGTAAAAAAACAAAAATGACAAAGAAGTGCAAAGAAAAGAACAAAAACCACCCACTTTTCAATGGCACGGAAGCCCCTTTCTCAAGGTATCAGGCATTTATGAAATAAACTACACATCTATTTATATATCCACATCTAAATACAACTCACACCACTTGAGTGACAAGTTGATTGCCCATGCAGGGTCTGGTAATGGCCCATTCAAAAAAAATTCAAAAAGTGTGCACCGCTCCAAATACAATTGTTCACAGTATCATATCAGAAAGATCAGTTGCTGTAGCTATCATAATGGGCTACTTAGCATCATCAAAATGTGAAACGACCAGACTGTTGACACATTTTATTTGCATTAACTACAAGTCACTTTCAGTTACTATACATTAAGCTCACTTCCTGTGACTGAAGTGCAAATTGTTTTCCATATTGAGTCAGGGACACAAATGGGAGGTCTTTTAAGAGCCTGATTATTGCAACATTTTGATGCTGCTGCGGAGCTATGCAGCCCATAATGATAGCTACAGCAACTGATCTTTATGACACAATTTTATCAGAAATTGAAGTTAAGGAAGTGCATACTTTTTAAATACTTTATGGGTGAGTAACAGACCCTGTATGGGTCAAATTGTCACACAGGTGGTTCATATATGGATAAATAAATAGACATGTAGTTTCTTGCATAAATTTTCAACTTGAGAAAGGGGGCCTCATCAATGTCACCAGGAATCAAATTGAGGATACATCCAAAACTTTGAGTTGCCACTACAACAGGAGTAGAGAGGAACTCTTCCAGTGGGTACATTTGTTCCTATGACAACTGTCTAAGATACATTTGAAAGATACCCGCTTACCTGTTAAGTCTACAAGACAGGAAATGAAGGGACAAAACTAACATCAGTTTTAACTCTCCTTTATTCTATCCAAAATGAAGAAAACAAAGTAGTTATGCTTAAAGTAAAAGTTTTGGCCATAGTTGGACATTAAAGTCTGCCAGTTTGTTTTCATGAATTACTTATTACATTAGATCTGAAAGTCTGCAGTCTAATGTGGAAAATGCTAGTAGACAACAGAACAGACTGTTCTGTCATGTCTATATTGTTCTTCCAGAAATATATAATCTATCGGATCAAGGTGGTAGATAGAGAGTGAGACCAAAACTAAGCAGCCAGGCTTATTACACCTTAGTGGAAATACACACTTGTAAGATTACAACAGATGCTACTGAC